TCACCTTACAAAGAACGTGCTTCAATTCATTGTTGCCATGGCAACCTTTTAATGTTTTAGTATTTATTATATATTTTTTAATGGGTGTTTTACCAGTGGTCAAGAGGTCTTGGAAAGTTGTTTTTGTAACTGCAGGATATTTTAAATTACATTATCCGCTCATAGTTTGTTTTGTAATTCTTATTACGAATTTGCGCACGCGTCAATTCGACAAATTGTCAAACATGACAATTAAAATGGATTAAGATTATATCATTTTGATTGACGAGTTTTATATTTAGCACATTAACTGTTCGCAGTTTTTGTGGCCTCCATAATTTGACATAGGCATACATCTATCTAGGACTAAAGACTACTAGATAAAGTTGCATATTTACAAAAACAATATATATTTTTTTCTGTATAAAGACAGAATGGAACGAAAATTGTTGAGTGGAAACAACAGTGAGTTTTTTGATTTTAATTTCTTAACAAATCATCTTAATTACAGATAATAAATCTGCATATATGTTTGAAAAGTTTAATATTATTCACATATTTTCACAATTATTGTTTACATTCAAAAAGTTACATTCTACATTTTATATATAGAGCAACGCTGTGGAAGTCGGTTAGTCCCGCCAATAACGCATTTGTTTTTCAATCTAAAATCGATTTTTAATCTGTTATGAGTTTGCATAAGCTGTAGGTATTAACATTTGACACGATACCTTGAGCAGAACCTATTAATAATAAACTCATGATCCTCGATGAACCCTGACAAATGAGCCATTGTTGCATTGATGCGATGTGACGTTAATCATTTGCCATGTAAAATGCATCTTAAATTTTCCCGTATATATTTTTTTATACTCTGTTACGACGCGGACGCCGTGGTTTAGAGATGTTTGAATAGTTAATGTCAAACAGATTTTAAAATTCGAATAAGTCAGTGTAGAAACTGTTTGGTGAGTTTTTTTTTAATTTCCGTGACTGGAAACATAATCTGTAATCAACAATTAATGCTGTTAAATTTTTTTATTCTCTGTTACGACGCTATTGCTGAAAGATGTTTGAATAGTTCATGTCAAAAGATTTTAAAATTCAAATAAGTCACTGTAAAGTGTGAGTTTCTTTTTAGTTTTGTGATTAGTTACATAATCTGTAACAGACAATTAGATGTGTTAAAAAGTACATTTGGAACCTTTTTTATCTTTTGTATGGGCAAAATATAATTGAAAATTTATTTATGCCAAGTCAGTTCATAGCTACGCAGGTTAACTAAGCTAATTTTATTTCCATATGTAATTTGTACACAATTTGAAGACTTTTTTGCACATGTTGTGGACTATATAAATTTAAAATCGATTATAAATTAAGAAAATTTTAGTAACGAAATTTAAAAAAAAAACTATTAAATTGTTCATAAAAGCATAACTAAAGAGGTTTCCTAGTTTCTTATTCTTAGAACTCTTATTGATACTGAGTTTCATCCGGTACAAAATTATAATAACATTATCGTCACATCATGGACACTATCGATAAATCCATGTCGAGAATAATCTAATAATCAAATATAATCCCCGGCATTGCGTCAACATCTGTTAATGGCATTGCTGTGTGCATTTCGCTGCTGTTTGTTGTACGACAAGTACTCCCACACATTCCGGCTAACGCTTCCTTTATTGTTTGGGAATGACAGGCCATTATCTACACTGTGGGAGAAAGTCTTCACAATAGAGTATAGACTCATCGGTTCAATAAAAGCCTTATAAGAGGCATCACATATCCTTATTGTCGAAATTTTCACAGGACTCGTGATAATATGAAGAAAGTGGTGGTATACATTGTTGGCAAAGTTTCATAATACTGTCTGTAGTTTACGCGAGTAATACATATTTAAATAAAACACTTTCACGGTTTAAAACGCGATGTATATTAGTTAATCCTCCCGTGACCACAACTGCTGCAAAACACCCGAAACGTCGGGCCGAAGTTAAAATAATTTCCAAATAAGTTTTACTAATATACATCGCATTTTAAATCGTTAAGTGTTTTATTTAATATCTCCTAGTTTTCGTAATTAGTATCTGTATCGTGTACACATTATCTCTATAACTCTTAGTACTATGTTCTTGGCTACTATTATTGTGTGTTATTGAACTGTTAATACATAATTAAATTGTTGACAATTTATATAATTGTGATATATAAGCATATAACGTACTACGAACACGAATTGTTTTAAATTTGGTATATACCTTAGAAAAAGGATCTTTCGAGTTTTATTAAGGCATGATAAAAAAAAGCATTCACCCGTAGTAAAATACACATTCCCTCACGCACGACGCAAAAAAATCTCTATCACAGCATCTGTTCGTGTGCGTCTTACAATAATTAAAGGTACCGATGTTCGTGAGATAAACCGAGCAAATCCGATCAACGTCAACACTCACAAAAGGATATCATCTATTTGCGCTTTACAAAATTCTTTTCCATCACTTTTGTTAAGCCTCAAAGCAGTTTAATAACTGTCGGGCTGTGACAGCGAAGGCTTTGTGAGGATAAAGGGCGAGACGTACCTATACACGTTTTTAGTTTAAAACAACCGCACTCAGACAAAACAAGGCCGATGTAAGTACATAGGTATGCTAAAGTAGGTCGCGAGTGTCATCTTGTAGCTGCAGCGACACTCTACTATTTTGTAAATTAGGTAAGATCTGTTTTTGAATACCTTGCGAGGAGTCGCACGCTCGTCCTCTAAACATACAAACCTGTCTGTAATTTGGTACTAAATTATTGAGCACTGAATTCAAATTGGCATTATTACGTATTACAATTTGTTCTTATTTGGCTGATTACGTTACGATGCGCTGCAGTGATTAGGGACAAACTGCAGGCTGCATTGTAATTTTGTGGCTTTAGAAATCAGTCTCATTGAGGCATCGCATGATCAGATAACACTCTATTGACACGAGGTATTTTGGACATAAATGGATGTATTGTTGGTACATTATGCAGATGTCTACTGGATTATACAGGATTATTGTAAATATTAACTGAATCTCTTATCGGTCTTGGTCGTAAGAAATCGATTAACAATGAGCAAAAATATTCTACAATCTTGAAGCTGAAGTATTTGTCCCTAAAAGTCTGGTAACTTTAACGAACACATAATGATGCTGGAAACGGCCGGAATTTGATAGCGGCTAGTTTTATAGTAAATTTAATTAGTTCCTAATTCAAAAAAAATAAATATTTTTTTAAACTGGCGCTAGGAATTCGACCAGATCTAATCGCTGTGTTTTATAATAAATCGTTCTTATTTTGATGTTTCTTAAAAAAAAACGTTTTCCTTTAACAACGAACAACAATTTAATTGCCATATTCGCTTTCCGTCATTTTTATTATTACTTTTGTTATGTTTTTGACAGGTCTGCGATTGTTGTTTCAATGACTTTTTGTGTCAGAATAAATGACAACAATGGGTCGATTATAATAAAACTGTGGATTTACCGAGTCATATTGTAACATCACGTCAATATACACTGTAAGCAACTTGCAGACGATGACATTTTTATTCGAATCCTAAAGGGACGGGGTCAGATTTTATTAGACCGCTGTCGTGAGCTTTTTATGTTAATATTCGGCTAATAAAAAATTTATCCCATCTGTAAATTCTACATTGTAAAAATCACGTAGCCAGGTATAAAAGAGCGGCTTAAAATTTTACGCGTAATAACAGCTTGCGCAAATCATTGTATTCGGGTGATAAATTTGGTCGAATATAAATCATTATATTTTATTGGCGTATATTCTTGCGTAGGCTAGGGATTTGGGTCAGAAAATATTATACAAATTGATGGTTCGTTCATAGAAATGTATAATAAATACGTTTGCTTTATAATTAAATTTTATTTGTAGTTCTGCGAATGGTACACATTACCATAACTTATAAACAACTAAAACGTGAACTTATATTAGTAGAGTAGTTTTTTAATACGGGCTAGTTATAAATTTATACCTTAGGTTTAAACGTCGGAGCGTAGTTAAAAATAATTTTCGAACAAGTTTGACTAAAATATATAGCGTTTAAACCGTTAAAGTGTTTTATTTAAATGCGTACTAGTCGCGTAAACTGCAGACAGTATTTAAAATTTTAACACAAAACATTAAATTTGTATCGTTACGTGCGATACATAAAATATTGTTAGCTTTGTGAATGGTTTTGTGTTTAAGTCGCAAGCTAATCTTGACTCTTGACACAATTTTAGTAGCAGCTTTATAAATAGAACGGAACAAGGTTGCTAGTAAATTAATGAGATTAACACTGTAGTATAAAAATGAAGCCACCGGGCCGTAATTGAAAGAGTATTTAGTAATTGGCATATGAAACAAAGTTTTTTAGAACAGCAGTTGTTTTCACAGGATCGTTGATGGAATTGAAGAAATGTATGGCGAATAATTTTATAATGTTTTTGATAAATTGGAGTTGGACGAAAAATCTGGATATGGGTGGTATGAATATCAATTTTCCATCCGGCTCACGAACCACCATTCTCAGATAAAAATCCGTCAAACGCGATTATAATTTTGGTTCGCGTTTCGGTGTCAGTATGTAAACTCCGAATAACCAAAGTCAAAATAGTTCGTGCGCATCTTGTTTACATGTTATACGCCTATTTCATCTACTCTACTAGTAGATACTATTTTTCTTCTCTATCGTCAAAAAAAAGTTATAAGATCGCACTTCATCGGTATCCAGTTATTATTGACATTCGAAATAAACATTTAAAACGAAAATTTTGGATGTATGGAGCAAAACTCATAACCATTATTTCATGCTTATATAGTTTTTTATACAGAGTTCCTACAAACAATCAAGCTACATTAAAATTAAATTATAAGCTGTATGCTTTAACCATAATACGTTTATTGTGCTGGTTTTACGTCCGAAAGTCTGCCTGTTTGCTTTTAAATTCTAAAGATTAAAATTTGTTCAACAGATAATTGGAAGGAGCATGCTGACTAGACTGCTGACGATAGCACTGCTGGCAGCGAGCTGGCGCCTTGGTGACGCTTGTTCGTGCTCGCTGGAGCACCCGCAGACACACTTTTGTAACAGTGACTTTGGTATGGCATTTTCATCTACCTTCCTCGTCAACATGACATGATCTTTCATTGAGAACTAGTATTGCAGAATAGGCTGAATGATATTTATGGGGTTCAAATTTGACATTAAATAATAATAAGTTCCATCTGATATATGAGGCCGCTAGAGGCAATGTAACCTAACCGCGAATTTATGACTTGAGTTATTTAAATTTTCATTGTCTAACAATGTTAATTTACAAGAGCACAGTGACCAAAAAAATGTTCATATAATTCTTACACTAATAATAGTACGTACAAATTCATTTTTCCTAAGTAAATTACGCATTTTTATTTTCCTCCTTATTGAAAATCTTGTTTTTTTTTTATTAGGCCACTTTGTCTCTAGCAGCTGAAATGAACCTTAACCCTTGAGTGAAATACTTATAATTTATTTATTTGCTTGTTTTGTGTTATTGCTTTAATATATCAAACTATATAATATATCAATTATAATTAAACGTAGTAATTTTTATACACACAACATAGTAAATGTTAATAAAATATTTTCTTTTGCAGTAATAGTTGGTCGGGTGCAGCGGTTGTTCAGAGGAAAAGATTTCTACGACGCGTATAAAGTGAAAATTCGAAACGTTTTCAAAGTAGGCTGCCTATTTTTGTATTTTATTTTTAACAAAGAAATATAAAATATAATCACTAATTTTAAATACATATGTCGAAAAAGTACTGTTACTAGTTTACTTGAGTACAGTTTAAATGAAACATTTTGACGCGAAACAATGTACGCAGTTACTGCAAAGAACCGTCGGGTCGTAGTTAAAATTTTGTAACCTTATATATTTCTCATTTTAAAGCCTTAAAAGTGTTTTAATTAAATTCGAAAAAAACAATCACTTTAATCCGTTGTAGTGTTACGAGTTAGTTCTAATCAGTCTTTCAGCAAACTATGAATTATCCTTGTTTGCAGAGTCCCTTAATGGGAACTGGTAAAGGGTTGATGTCATTAATCTTGTGTAAAATTTCTCTTTAATTTACAGGCGACACCAAAAGCGACTTTAGCTTTGAAATCTGGTCGAATTCTGACGCCTTCGCAAGATTCCTTATGCGGAGTCACCTTGCAGCCTAGAGAGACCTATGTTATAACAGGTACCTTATAGCTAAACAAAATTAATGGAATTTGTTGCAACAACAAAATTGCGTTAAATCATTAAGAAAAACCTCTTACACTAACAAGAAGTGTTAAAATTTATTACCATTTTTCTCATTTCACACTTTTAACCCAAATACATAGATTATGCAAAGGTAACAGATAAGAGAAAACGAAATTTCCACAGACTTAAAATACATAAAAGTAGTTTTATTTTTAATTTAGCACCTATGTTTATAATTTGTATGCCAGTGGTATACTTTGATTTAACTGTTATAAAAATGAGGAGACACTCATCTTACTTAACTTATTGTTATTCTGATGTAAAATGTCGTTTGGGTTTAATGACTGCACGTCATATTAGGAATACAAAATCTTTTGCTTACAGCTTTTATAAATTGATAAGTTCTATAATAATTTTTTAAAAGTAATTATTACTTGAACATTATCTTTATTTAGACTTATAAACAGAAGTTACCTACTAATCCGCAAGACTAAGGGGTTCTTTTTAATCATAGAGGAGGTGAAATGTCCCAGCCATAAAAATCTACACAAGATGCGCTGTCGCCCTATTTTGGCTTTAAATACAGGCTCTTGGGTCTAATGGTAGCAATGTTCCGCTTTTAATCAACGAGTCATTGGTTCGATCGCCAACATGTTTCCAATTTTTCTGAAACATGTTGTTCTTCGTCTGGAAATGTGGTTAGTGTAACATCACCTTTATTAATGTGAAACAAAATGCAGGTCGCGTGATGCACCTGCAAGCACACGTCCAGCTGTGTGGGTATATCAGCAAGTGGCGAGAGGTGTCTCCGAGACAAAGGAAAGGCTTCCGTCTACTCTACAGACAGGGTTGCACGTGCAAGGTAAAACTTTAACACATGCATTAGTGGTAGTACCTAAAATCTATTTGAGATTTCAACACTGGTCCTTGAAGGAAGAATAAACTACAGAACAGCTTCGTTCTTTGTTTTTTGTACACATAAAAATCAATATATTATTTTGAACCTCTGTGACGGTTCTTCTCAATAACCGTTGGAATCTAACTCGCACTTGACTCATTTTAGTTTTAACGCTGAATTGCAATAAACTATAATAATATTTATAAATATTTGGGCATAAAATGTATACAGCTTAAATACAAATAAACAGATCGCAAACCATTGACTCACTAAATAACAAAACAATATTTGCATGAATATTTTAAATACGGCTTACAATGAAGTAAACAGGATTAATCCGAATTAATTGAAGTTTAACTTCGAGAGCGTTATTTTAAAGTAAATTTCCGAGAGCAACATGAAAGTTAAATCTCCTTAATCCCTCTTATTATGGGCGTAATCTCAAGAAAATAATAACTCTCGGTCACGAATGTAGGATTGTTATACGAAAACAGTATCGTGTTGTGAGAATTTAAATTTCCACAACAGAGAAATGGATGACGTGATTTTCAAGCGTGGAATGAAAAAGACTTATGAAGATCATGTCAAAATTATTTACGAATCTTGGTATTTAGTCACACGTGTCTATTAAGTTATATTAAATACTGAAGATTTAATAAAGCGGGTTGAAACTCGAACTACAGTAAAACTTGCACCATTTGAAATTTTCATACGATTTTGTAATGAACAGCTAGATATAGAAATTATATAATGATACACAGCTTTCCTACGAAATAATTACCATATATATCTGCCAAAGGGAAAAATACTTAAAACTAGTTCCAAGGTGAGTTTAGATTATTGAAAATTAACTATTACATTAAGCTGGGATCGCATTATTAGATTTTGCAAATTCGTTTAACTCTGCCTTCAATTACTTTCCGAGTAAATCAAGTAAGCTAGTCACGAAATTTCCCGCGCAGAGCGTGTTTAAGTAACAATGCTTGTACATGCTTCTGCTTAGTCAATTTTCTTAAATTCTGTGTAATTAGCTCCTTTAGAAAGGCAAATATTGAGAAACAATGCGCGTTTTGTAGCAATTATTTCGTATCTGCCTTTCGCGTTTACCTATAAACTATTAAATATAACTGCATAAATGTTTTAAAATGTTTTCTACAACTGTTGGTTTGCTGCAGTTACATACAATAATGTCTGTGATTTAAGCGCTTTTAACGGTTTATAACGCAAAAACAAACACTCTTAGTCAAAATGAGATGAACGTTAAATCACAAAAGTTCCTTAGTACCTACTAATCCCGAAAAAGGAATAATTTCTGACAGGGCATGGAAGTTTGGTCGTTATTCTTCTTCTTCTGATTTTAATATATATTATACTTATAACATTAATTAATTGTTTTCTAAAACATAGCACAATACATTTCAGGTACACGTCAACCGACGCACGACAAAATCCCCCAACACATGTGTCACTGGCTTCGACGAATGCTACGAGCGACATGGAATCTGTTTGCACGACCGAGAGAGGCGATGCAGGTGGACAAGGTAAAGCAAAAAATATATACTATATTCTCAATAAAATCATACAAATCATTTAGTTTTGTCAAAAAAAAGGTACATTATGTTTGTCTGTCCGTTCTTCGTAATTCTACAGAGTAAAAACCTAGTATATTCATACGTAGGAGCAGTAAGAAGTTCCAACAATAAGAACTACTGCTCGTGGTTTTGTTCGCGAAATTATGTACCTATTTACAGGCTCGTTGATCGAATGGGCAATGGCTAACAATCGGGGATGTTTCATACCAATTTATAATTTCTGTAACACATGTTTGGTTTTGTGTGAAAAATGTGGATATGAAATAGGTGATAATTATGGAAGAGCTGTGAAGTGTACATTTATATTTTGGTATGTGTGGATTTCTGAACGTCCGAAGTCAAAGTAGGGCGTCAGCAAATTTTGTTTAGATTTAGAGGTTAGAGGTTAAGGTATTTCAATTTGAGTGAATCTCTTGGGACTCTTAAATACAGTTGTATTTTAGAAAAGAAATTATGTTTTGTCTTTATTAAGATGCGACATCGATTTTAAAAGTCCCAGTAATTTGTTCATATTATTTAATTAAATAATTATATTAGTTATATTCCATGAGATCAGTCGGTATTGTTACAGTTTTTAAATGTATAACGCGATATAAATCTGCTTATAATATTAGACAAGTAAAGTTTGTAAATCCAAATAAGATGTTCCTACGCACTTTTTGCTTCGAGTGTTGACAATGACTAATACATACTGATTAAATCATCAATTTTAAGTTCCATGACCTTAACCATGGAGATCGTATTAGATAATGACTCAATGACTGTTAACAAAGTTTTTTGTTACAACTGTATCAAACCTTGACGCATTAATTAAAATGTATTTAGTAATTACAAAACTGTTTTTCAACATAAAGTAAATAAATTTGTGCTTATAGTTATAATTAAACACTTGAACGGTTTAAAACGCGATATATATTAGTTAAACTTATTTTAACTATGGCCCGACGTTTCAGATGCTTCGCAGCAGTCGTGGGTTCTCTCACGGGGACTATGTCGAAGGTTTGGGCCGTACTGAAAATAATTTTTCAAATAAGTTTAACTAATATATATCGCGTTTTTAACCGTTAAAGTGTTTTTATTTACATCCTTTTTTATTTGTTGAAAAAGTTTCGTAATCGTTAAATTCTACTCGTCTAAACTACAGACAGAGTAAATAATAATTATGTTTGATTGTTTTTTTATGACGGAAAAGGATTAACAAAGGAGGTAAATCGGGTTTAATTGGAAGGAGTTGAAATCTCCCGTCTTTTAACCTATTTATCGTGCGTTGCCGGTAGTTTGGCTTTGGACATTCTTGAATAAAAAGACTACAACCGAAACGTGACCCGTGTTTCGTGACACGGACGTAATTTCAATATTTCTTCCATCCATTTAATGTCCCGGATTTCCAGATATGTTCTAGCTTATGTAAAAGGAAAAATGTTATCAATTATGTTATACCCATTACAAATCGAACTCAGGGCCCGCAGGTAACCACATGTTGGCTAATACGGGCCAAAGGGCACGTAAATTATAATAAAATTATATTACTTATATGTTGTACTCGGTAGCTCAATTGGTAGAGCAACAGCACGGAACGCTGACGATGCCGGTTCAAGTCCTGCCCGAGTCGCAATTTTATTCAATGTATTTTCGATTTTTAAATTATTTATATGTTATCCACGTCCTACAACATCATACTAGACATAAGTGGAAATGGTTACGCTATTTTGACTTATTCTTTTTTCTCACTTTTCAGAGCTCCCGCCCTCACGAGATGTCTACAGAAGCAACACTTCAGCAATAACAGCACTATGACTTGAATAAACAGACGAATCGTTATTAATACTAAATAACCACTATATGTAAATCTGGATGCCACTCCATTGAAATTCCGGTGTTACCTTCTGTAGTGTTACTAATATTAAATGCAGAATTAAGCTAAGCGAAAACTGATAAGTATCGTTATAAAGCCGGGTGCACACAAGCGAGCGGTAACTGTAACTTGTATAAAGTAACGACGCATCGCTAGTTTAGCGTCACTGATTTGGTTGATTATGACATCTGTCTATGTATGCTTGTAAGCGGCTTGTATAGAAACTTCCAATATTGTACATAGATTAAAGCTTAAGAAGAATCTGAAATAATCTTATAATATTATGAAATTCGAAATTGCGAAAGTGCGGTCCAGTCATTTTAAATGTATTTTTTGTATTAATTTCTTGGAATGTACTGTTACGATTACAACCCTCTAGTGAGTACCTGGCTCAATGCGTTCTCAAACACGATCTATTTAAAATTAGTGTCGCTTATAAGTTTATTTGTTTAAGCGATGCCATATAAACTGTTTGAAACGTGGGCAGCATGTTTGGGTTATGAATATTTTGTGTGCTTTGAGTGACTTGGTAAAATACGACTCGAATTTAATGAATTACCAATGTTATAAGCCTTCTAGATTCTTGACTTGTTGTTTTGTCTCCGCGGACATATTAACGTTGTGTATTATTTATTGTAAGTTATAACTATGACTAAGTTAAAGTATTGTAAATTAACAAAATAGTGATATATTAGATTAGAATAAACATTTAAGGTATGAAGGATCTTCTTTTAAAACGCCTACATTAATATACGACGCAATATAACAATCTTATGAGGGTTGGTGCTAAAAATGCTTGTCAACCTATGAACACTTACCAAATAATAAGAAAACAGAAGAGATATTTCAAGAGAAAACAAAAGAAATCAACGTATCTCTTATCATTTGTTTTCTCTCTTCTCATGAGTCTAAACTATAACTCACCATATCAGTGTGGTTGTGGTAGTAAGTTTGTTCTATAAGAGGGAAGTTTTCTCGTCCCAAACGTCGCTGTAATTGAAGCAGATGCCCGAACACCCACGGGCGATCCTGAAACCAATTAAATCTAGAGTGAAGACGTCAAAACTTGTGAAATCGAGTTGCACTTGACGTTAGCGAAGTTTTAGAGGGCTTTAACTCGTAATAGCGTTTGAGGCTCTATCGACCGAGTAAACCGCTTCCAGTTATTTACATAGCTATAAACAGTTCAGCCGCAACCCAACACTGACATTTAGCATGTCCCCGGGGCATGTTATTTATTGTCTCATTGCAATTCGCCATTTTCTCTATCGTATATAATCTGTACCATGTTAGAAATAAGTGACACTTTTTGAAGTTTATTCGGCAGATGACTGTAAGTAATAACAACTGTTAAAAATTGCATATCTTTAGAACACTTTCAGACTAAAATCATTTTGACATTCTTTAGTAATTTATTCAATAACAATAATAAAAACAACATAATTATATTACATTTTACGTTTAGCTAATCGAAATCTATTAAATTATACTATGAAATCAAATTATATAGAACCACAGGTGAAAAAGTATAGGCAAAGTTTAATCGCATCGTTTCAGTCTGTGGATTTCCGAATATCCAAAGCCAAATTAGGCCGACAACGCATCTTGTTTTGCTATTATATGGCTGGGCAGTTTTACCCGCCTTGTCTATCGTCCTCTATCACTAAAAAAAGATATATACTAAGAACAATCTATTTGGTAAAGTTATACCTGGAAGTGGTAGATTGAGTTTAGGCTGTTAATAGACGGTACTCCTCCAAACTTCAGCCCCAAAAGCAGGGCTCGGTGGTCGGCTCCTGCATCACGCACATTTTGTCTAACAAGAACGAAGTCTGGCCTAGAAAAACGATGCATAACATAATTATATTTATTATATTTAAATTTGACGTGCATTTATTACAAATAATAATAATAAGGATTATTTTAAAGAACAGTAAAATTTTTAATTTAACATACATAATTAAATATAAATGTCTATAACTATATATTTCTAAATTTTATCCACAACCTTGATTATTTTTATTACAGTTTAATAATTTTATTAAATGGTTAAACCGAGGCCTATGTTACACCTTAAAATGTATAATAAAGTAAAAAATAATACATTTTCCTAGGTAAGTTTTTTACCCAAAAACTTCAAACTAAGATCATAAAGATTAAATTCTGCCATGCCACTACAAAAGAGCTTCTCAAATGATTTTTTTATAATCTGTTTTTCTTCTATTACGAATGTCAAAGTACAGACGATAAACTTTATTTAATTTGAAAATAAAACAACCCGGCCTCATTACCATTCGTTTCTTCGAGCAATGTCGGACTTCATAAATAATTCATACAAAGCCGTTTTTAGCAATACGAAATTCAAGATCAACATCTACAACTCAAACTTATAACAAGAAATGCCATTAGCAATATTTTTATATAAACAATAGAAAATCTACGTAGAAGAAAAAGCTATGCTGGAGGTATGTTTACTAAAAATATGGTGACATTCTTGTCACTGTCAAGTTGTAAACTATGTTTATATTTTGTATGATCATTAATTCTACACTACAGCGCTCGCTCCATGAAATTTCAGTTCATTTAAATAAAACACTTAATCGGTTTAAAACGCGATATATTTTAGTCAAACTTGCAACAGCTATGGTCCCGTCACCACGGCATCCGAAACGTCGGGCCGTAGTTTAAAAATAATTTTCAAACAAGTTTAAATTAATTATTATAATTCTCTAAATTTTACGAGACTAAAACACATTTCAAAATTACTTCTAACGTCTTTTAATTAAATTGAAACTAAGTTAACTTATAACTAGTATACTTTGCGTTATGAACCGTTAAATTTCATTCAAGAGCTATATGTATCTCTTGCTGCACTAGGGAATTATGAATCCCTAGTGAAGAAAAACACTGTAAATAAATAAATTTAAACGTCTTATATAAACAAAAGCTACTTGAGAAGGGTTATTATAACGTAAATCAATAATCAAATGGTAACAATTGGAGGAACCCGCTCTAACAAGGCAAAAGATGTACACATTAAGTAAGAAAAACTAGTCGATAAAAGGTATGGCGGCGAATTTCTTGACAGTTCCTCTCGTTCGTTCTACACGCTTAATTTGGCAAGTGGTAAATGTAAATTTTGAGTTACAATATTTAACTTTGGCGTTGATAAGTGTACCTAGTACTATATGAATAAATTATGTTTGATTTGATTTGATTACAAATATTAAACACAAGTTAACTACTTACTTGAAACATCGTGTAACTTTTGTCCCGCTGCGATACACCGCCATTGACACATTGGCGCCATCCGAGTTCGCTGTCACAGTCAACTCCTACAAGAACAAAGCCAAGTAAAGTATTATCAAGACGACACTTTTGAAATAAACTAACACGGGCAGGACTTGAACCCGCATTCACAGCGTTCCGTGCTGTTCCTCGAACTAATTGAGCTACCGTGTCTTCCTGCGATTTTTTTCAACCTATTGTTACATGTATCTGTCACGCAATGTAATATCAACCTTAACACTTGCAAATTAAGGATGGATTTTGAAGTGACCTTGAAAGAGAGTATCCTTGAATTTAAATAGAATTAATTTTGTAAAACCATTTCTGGGATTCGCAAAGGACTGGGCAATCTTGCGGTGAAATTTTCAGTAATTTTAGCCGTCAAGTGTTCATCACAAATTTCAATATTCATGTTCAGGATTACGTCAGCTGTAGATTGTAAAAGTGTTTAATGGATTCAGAAACCTACCCGTCATGGCGGGCTCGTTAGTCTAATGGTGTAACGGGTTGTGTGTTTGACCCCCACCGGGTCCTACAGGATTCTTATTAATTTATAATTTTTTCTTAGGTTAAAAATCTATTTAGTTGGAAAAAACGTAGATACAGCGAGCGTGATTCGGACCCACGGTCAAAGGATAGTCACATCTTAATTTTTTTACGAAAAAAAACAAATAAAAAAATAGACAGTTATAGGTATATCATAAGGAAAAGAAAGATATTTTCTTAAATAATTCATAGATTTAATTGAGATTAAAAGATAGAAAAAATACATCTAAATTCTAAAAAGCAATAATGTTACAGTTAAAATACGAGTATTATAAACCAAATGAGTTACTGTGTCGCTTTTCGAAATATATTTTTACCTAAATACATAAATGACGTTTACGCTAATTAGACTGCATATATTTGCTCTGTTCGCTGATTAGATAAATAATTGGAAATCATATTCCGTAATACATCAGACTACTACTAAATCCTCAATTGTCGTGTTGTAATATACATAAAGCTGAAGAGCTTGTTCGTTTGTTTATTTGAACGCGCTAATCTCAGGAACTACTGGTTCGAATTGAATGAATACTTTATGTTGAAAAAAACGGGGTTAAATATTCATCTATGTGGGTTTCCGATGCGTACACTGCAAAACGGTTCAAGATACCCAAAAAATATGTATCAAAGAATGATTCCTCTTTAAATGATCCAAAAAAAATTGCGCGACAATATCAAAAAATACTTAAACCAGAACTGAGAAGTCTTGGTTTAACTCTTAAATCATGGTCTAAATAAATCTATTTAATAAAAGTTAGTACCATAGTTAGTCCAGTACAAACGTTAAACTTCGATTTTTGATACGGAATTCTAATAAAGCAAGGTTTAAGCCAGGTTTGAGAGTTAGTCCTTGTTTATATTAAGTTGCAAGATCGACAGGTCGCGCGGGATGAGAAGAAGTGTCGCAATAACAATTTTTTTTGCCCAAAATAACTATTCTACGCGGACGAAGTCGCTGAAGTAGTTTATAGTTACCGGTATATGAGAAGCAAATATCCATGTCACTGATTAATTATTCCGGCAACACGAAGGGCATAATAAGCTTAATGGAATGCTTTGTTTAAGCTGCAAAGCCACATTAAACATAAAGCGACTTAAATTTACTAACATACATGCTAAACAAACTACAAGTCAAAATTAATACATGATATTTCATTAAGAGGTCTTTGTCATTTTCGAAGATTTATTAGAAGACGAACAAGTTTATTCAGAAACAACAGATGACATTTAACAAACATAATATAGGAAGAATTACACATACAATTTTAATTTACTAAGTACATATAGAATAACAAAAAATAAAATGGTTGTCTGCAAAAAAGGAGTCCAATTAGCTAGGTTGGGACTACTGTCCCAACACTAATATTCTGTGGCCCTTTCAGAGGCCGAGAGCTAACACACGCTAAATAATTTCAATTTATTGATTTTTAAGTACACCGGTAACAGACCGCCTCTGTAGCTACATGGTTATATTTAAATAAAACACTTTAACGGTTTAAAACGCGATAAATTAGTTAAACTTATTTGAAAATGATTTTTAACTTTGGCCCGACGTTTCGGATTGTTTGCAGCAGCCGTGGTCACGGGGAGAAACGTCGGGCCGAAGTTAAAAATCATTTTCAAATAAGTTTAACTAATTTATCGCGTTTTAAACCGTTAAAGTGTTTTATTTAAATGTGTACTACTGGCGTAAACTATAGACTGTATCTACATGGTTATATGTGTTGTCTAGCGTTGTGTAAATCGCGAGAGGGTTCGAATCCCGTAACGACAATACAATGTTTCGGACAAGACATACTAATCTGACACTGTCTATAGTTTACGCGAGTAGTACCACTCTCCCCGTGACCACGACTGCTGCAAAGCATCCGAAACGTCGGGAAGTTAAAAACCATTTTCAAATAAGTTTAACTAATATATCGTATTTTAAACCGTTAAAGTGTTTTATTTAAACATAGTAATCTGATCAACTACATGTCTGTAAATAAAACCGATCAGTGTGATAGACTCAGAAATATGTTCACCCCAAACCTGTTAAGACGTATAGTAATACGTCTAGAGCTAGTAGAAAGTACAGTTACGTATACAATGCTATTTTAAGTAATTCGTACGATAATAAAATATAAATAAGCCATAATAATACGACAACGACATCGTAACTTCAGTTACGACGTTTTATATAGCCTATAACATAATAATAAGCTGGATTATTTGAACAATGAGACGAGTATTCGCAAACTTATGACAATATGACATATACATTTTTACGATTAGCGACAATGTTTGAAGTATAGAAAATTTTAATTATATGCTTTTTCACATTTTAACCAGTCTTATATGTTAACATATTACACCGTTGAAAGGGACGTATTTGTTCACATTGATCTTGTGAGAACTTCAAATATTAAACAAAACAAACAGATACTATTGTTATTATATATGCATATAGGTATTCAGCTTGTAATATCTTTGATTTGAGTTTTTATCATTTCTATAGAAAAATGTAAAGTGATATCCCGTTTCCCCACACTGATCGGTTTTATATACGCAGGTAGTTGATCAGACTTCTGTGTCCTGCCCGAACGAAACAATCTATTGTTGCCCCGAAATTCGAACCATCTCGCGCTTAATGCAATACTAGACCACACGTGTAACCATTTTGCTACAAAGGCGGTCTTTGTTTGTGTAAAAATAGAAGAAAATTGGAAGGATGAACTAAAAATATCTGTTTTAAATTTTTCATATATGTAGTTTCTTTTATTCAATTTTAAGAAGTAGTATATAGAACTTCGTAAAAATCACCACAATTTGTACAAACAAAACAGTTTATAGAAATAAAACACTTTTACGGTTTAAAACGCGATTTATTTGGAAATTATTTTGACTGCGTCCCGACGTTTCGGATACTATGCAAGGTTCAGTCAGGTACCAGTTCAGTCAAATACCAACTGATATGGAACAGATGCCGCTAGCCTAGCAGTTTTTATAGAGACACCCCTTTCACTCCCCGTGACCGCTGCAAAGCATCCGAAACGTCGGGCGATAGTTAAAATAATTTTAAAATAAGTTTAACTAATATATATTGCGTTTTAAACTGTTAAAATGTTTAATTTAAATGTGTACGAATCGCGTTAACAACAGACAACAACCATAGAACTTACCCTAAATTCGGCCTGTTCAACGCGTATATCCCATTCGCCTGGTAGACGCCGGTTGCGGAAGTACTTCGACCAGTCCGTATTCTGGTCATCCACGACGAGTAAGGTAACGCACCGATCTCTGTTGTAACCACGGCCCACTGACGCCACTGATGTAACACTTCCTAAAAATCATTAAAATTGAAACTTTCGTGTGGTGAAAACCAAGATAATAAAAACTGTCTGTGAAGATCTCCAATCTTACTCCCATTGCCTTTTCTCACTCTATATGTTTAATTAGTTTTATTGTATTATTTATGATTTTTTTCTAGCTTTTATGGTTCTAGCTGATACCGGATTTGATTAGATATCCTACTTGAAGTATTTTTCCAGCAACAATAAAGTTAATTATAATTTATCTCTGGTATGAAACTCGGGACAACAGTCGCAAATAAAAAGAGAATCGTTTTTATTTACCATCATAATTTTTTACATCATTCAAATAAAATAATTGGATTTTATATTATGTTGAATTTATAACCATCTTCTTAGACGAATGGAAAAAAAAGTTAAATGTTTCATAATTTAATCTAATTAATTAAATTATTTAAAAAAGGGGGATTATATGAATAATATTTAAGTGTCTTAGCGAATCAAACCACATAAATAAATCCTCTAATCTTTGAACCCTTCAATTGGTCCTCTTTAGTTAATCAAAAATGTATGAAGATACCATTTTGATTAGGCTGTATTAAACCCTTTACGAAACTGAATTCCTTTTATACCAACAAGGGACAGATTGCAAATCTCTATGGTAATCAAAGGGACATAGGAAGGCTCTTTGTATTTGTTTACTCCGCCAGAAATCTCATCTCTACTAAGCTCCCTAATGATGAAGATGAGACTGTCGACAAATCCTTGCAAATGCATTTGTTCCGATCCTTGTTCTTCGAAATTACCATCATTAGAGTTAAACTTGAGTCGAGATAATTCTTTTAAATTTTTGTCGAGTTCTGTAATCTCTTTAGGTATTTTTTGCAGTTGTACGATTATTTCGTTTTTTTGCTACTTATTATTTTTACGCTTGTCGTAATATTCAATATAACGACAATTTAGTCATAGTTCATTCTATTCACTTAGTTGAATTGATTATTTATTAAATTTGTAACTTTTTAGCTTTATTATTTATATTACAAACCATAGAAAAAAGGTTAGGAAAGAGGAAAAAAACTTACTTACTAACTTATAAATAAATGGCGGCCTTATCGCTAAGTAGCGATCTCTTCCAGGCAACCTGAAGTACAGGAGAAAAAAAAAATAATAAAGAAAAGCAAAGTACCTAGAAAAAGTAAACATAACAAGTAAGAAAGAAACGAACTTAAAGAGTTGGAGAGTAAAATAATATCATATAATATCAAATTAACGTTAAGATAAGGCGTCACTTCTATAAGATCTTTACCCTTTATATACGATATATTACAGTACGAGATGTTAAGATAATTAAGAAAAAACGAATAATAAAAATGTGAAGAACGTCACTGACCCAATAAATTTGCGCCTTGATCCCTGGCAGCACCGGTTAGAGACTGAACTCGTTGGAGAAGTGACTCTCTTGATTTCGCTGGTGAAGATGGCGCTGAGGTGCCTCGAGATCCTCCTCGAAGGTTCAACGACAAATCGCCACCGGAACCAGCGGTAGATGGAGTTGCACTTGGTGGGGGATTAGCTGACGGTGGTGGTGCTGCACCACTCCCGAGACTACCACCGGTCGCTGTACCATGTTATTACTTTAAATTTAACCATTACAGAGATATTTTAGTCAGTTATATATTATGTAGGTACGTATATTAATTTCCTTTGAAAGTATGCTATATTTATATACTAAGGTAGAAAAATTTTGGCCACGATTTCTTAGTATTAATAAGCTAATAGTCGTTATATTAATTTATCGTATTATTTACTTGTACATACATATATGTTAATAGTCAGATTGAAATAATCTACCCTATGTTGGACTTTTGTTACGAGTAAATACTATTTGAACTTCTTGAGAGGAGAGCAAGATAAAAATTTGTATTGAAAATAACAGAAACGTTTTGTAAAAAATGAATTATGGAAATGTCTGTTTGACTTTGAAAACTGAGTTTGGGAAATTTTATAAAGTGTACGCGCGTTCAAGCGTTCTCTTGGGATAAATGAATTACCGTTTGTGTAAAGTTTTCTCAGACTTCTTCAATTAAATTTCTATATGTGTAAGGTTTGTAGAGTAATTTAAAAGTAAAGCATACTTTATAGTAACCGCGATACCTTTTATAGTAACAGATCTATATTGTCTGTAGTTTATATTAATGGTACACAGTTAAATATAACACTTCTCATTGGTTTAAAACGCGAAAGATATTAGTTAATTTATTTAAATATTATTTTATCTATGGTCATATCTCCCATCACCGCGACTGCTGCAAAGCATGCGAAACGTCGCGCCGTAGTTAAATACATTGTAAACAATGAATATATTTCGTGTTTTAAACCGTTTAGACCTATATTTTAATACAATGCGGGACTGAACATGGATGAACAGATAGTACTAGAACATTTAATTTGGCCTTACCCTGAGAGGTTGGGCGCTGCTGTGGTTTGGGCTGACTGGTCGTCGCCGGGCGGCCGGTGTAAGGGTCGACTTCTCCTTCATCGCACTCCGATTGCAGATCACCGGAGCTGAATCTGCGCAACGCCTCCGCTGAACTACGCGCATCACCGCACACAGACGTGGGAAGGAAACCGATACACACAATGTAGCCACTCTCTGATGCCTAACACCCATGGTTCAGTATATTTTATGATATATTCACAATAGTATGATAAATATCTAGGCACCTATGCACTCATACAAACCATGGGTCCACCTATCAGCCATTTCAAACCAAATTCGCACTCACTACATTCTAGTGATGCTGTAGATGGGTGTGTCGCGAATCGAACTGTTCATTTCCGCCATTTTCGTACCCGCCATTTTAAATTAACATAGTTATGCCAAAATGGCGGATAAGTTAATTCAAAATGGCGTTTTCTATCAATGAAGATTTAATAATAATTGTTGTTTACATTATATTGAAGCAAACAGATTCACAACATCAATAGGAAGGGACCAAGCATGCCATGCAATGACAGTGGCTGAGTTGCTCCTTTTGTTTCTCTATCTTTTATCGTCTTCTAGGCCGAATGCGAGTGCTACAGAATGTGACCAGCCAGGATTGTGATGGAAGGGTATGGCATAAAATCTCCTTGTATCTGACCTCGATGAATATTAGAATGGATCAGATACAAGGGTATAAGGAACAGCTGCTAAGAAAGCGCCGTTGATAAAAGAACTGTAATTCTTACTAACTTTTCTATGTTTTTATCAGGGCGTTATGTATTTATAAACAACAATTCTACTACTCGTGTCGTTATACGAAACACCATCAACTCTTGAGGAAGATTAAGCTACCTCTGTAGAAGATACATAAATCTTGTCCCAACTATGGGAACTATTAAAAAATTAACAATTTAATAGTTTTAATTCAATCATCGTGTTTAAAATGACCTAGAATCTTCATCTTATTTAGAATTGTTATCACAAGGCAGTCAAATTGTGAGGCATCTTATAAAGCATTTCTGTAAGCCCGGCTGTATAAACTCTTGTTGTAAGGAACTCTTACATGAAGAATTATAGCTCTTTTAAAACCATAATTTGGAACAATTAGGGACTGGGTAGTGCGTATGGGAGCAGTGAAGCGACGTCGTTATATTTTCAAACAAAACTGACGGTATTTATTTAGAAATATAATAAAAAAGGGCTAATATAAGCCAAACAGATTAAATTCAATAATCATACACTTTGGGAGTAGGTATGACGAAAAATACTAATACAATTTAAAGTAAAACAAGATAAAAATTATCTTAACTATTTTTTTAGTTCCCAGTTAAAACGAATATTATTAAAATTTCACTGAAATTCATTTGTTGAGAGCGTCTCTTTAAATATTCGTGTTAATTTAACACGTACAGCATTCTCATTTTGTATGCAGTGCAATATACATTTCCTTGTGCAGACAAATAAATTGTTATTCATTTAACTCAATTTGAATTCTGAAAGTTTTGTTTGTTCCAGACCTTATGCGAGTTAAAAGCTTACGCATGATCCAACGTACAGGGATTTTATAGCTATACATATCTAATAACACATTATATTTTGTTTACCAAAAGTATACACGCTTCAATTATTTATTCCTTTATATTAATATAATTTATTTTAAATCATTTTGGCACCGTTAGCTAATAAAACATAGGTTATGACTCTCGAGATTCTCCCCATGACCACGGTTGCTACAAAGCATTCGAAACGTCGGACCGCAGTTAAAACAATGTTTAAAGAAGTTTAACTAATATATTTCGCGTTTTAAACAGTTTAAATGTTTTCTTTAAATACTATTGGCTTAATATTAAGAAAAATAAGTTTTTGACGACTACTGAAATGTATTAAGTGTTTGTTAGTTTAAACATTGTTAACACTTTATTTATATTATAAGTGTTTATACCAAAATCCCTGTACGCATATGCAATAGTCTTGCGTGATGTGACGATCTTACCTTCGTTTCAGGTAATTGACATTGGTGGTGAAGGAATTTCGGAAGCTTGAGAAAGACAGGGTTGATGTGGTCGCGGCCTGCGGGCCACAGATGCCAGGACACCCCGAACGATCTATCTTGACCGCAACTATTGCGTAACAATATTGAACGAGGGTATAGAGTACTGGTGCATCAGATGTATCTTATTTGTATAAGAACGTTTATGAAAACTTTAATATTTTTACATATTGAATCATCAAATTATATAAATTCAAAATCTATGTAGATTAAACAAAATATAGATAAACACGGGTGGGATTCGGACCGGCATCCACAGCGTTCCGTATTACTGCTTAAAACAAACGGTAGCTTAATTGGTGATTTATTTTGAATATACATAGATTTTAAATTTAAGCAACGTTTATGTTTGAAACATGATTATTTTAAAACGTTAACCCACGCAAAAATTAAAGTAGAGAGAGCGAGAAACGCTGTTATTGTGGTTCGTATCCAATCCGAGTTTTAACATTTATCTTGTTACCTTATGTTACAAGACTATTCTATAGAATCAATATCTAATCGATCCCTTATTCTACATTAGGTAATAACACAGAAAATCCTTAGATTGTCACATTCTAAAAATAGAGTAATTTTCTATTACTTAGAGTTATTGGAAGATAAAACTACTTGAATCTAGATCTAATCTAGTCTAGATGAAAACAGTTTCATAAGATTTGTAACTAATCTACGTACTGTCTGTAGTTTACGCGATTAGTACACATTTAAACACTTTATCGGTTTAAAACGCGATATATTCCCGACGCGATATATAACGAGTCTACGTGTCGACGTAGCTCTCCGTAGCAAATGTCTTACACTACGCTTATAACCAATTTTAGAATGGAACTCATTTTTTAAACGCGTCATAGAACAAAACAGTAATAAATAATTCCCAACTCACCTCAGGAAATTCACTCGCAAGATAGCTTGCAAGCTGAACAATCGGAATGCTCTGTCAAACTACAGAGGAACTCGCAAAGGTGGATTCCTGTAGATAACAGTTATATTATAGGCACGGAAGTGTAATTTTACGCTTCAACAATATCGTAATAACAAAAGGTATTATAGAGAAATTTAATTTTTTTTTTTTTTTTGTAGTCGTGATGTTATTGGTTTCAACCTAACAGCGTCCCATTGTTGGGCACAAGAGTTTTACCGCCACAACTCCAATGTGGTTTCGTGGGCTATAAAAAATACTGAATTAGGGTAAAGTCTGGCGACTTAATAAGCTGATAGCAACTACTTTAAAGTTTAAATTGTTTTTATTTAGGTAACGTTCACACCAAACGTAACCTGCCGCCGACTGACACGACGAATTACCTAATAGCGGCTTAGTGTGAACGACAAGTTAAATATATGAAGTAGCTATGACCGCGATCTTTTCCGCGTGAAATAGTAATTTTGGGCATCCAAAGTTGTTTATGCAAACCCTCTTTTTTTCTTTAAAAAGTTGTAGCCCACGACGTCGGTCGCGTCACTTCGTTCTTGCACGTTAATAATTAATAGATAGACATATACTGTCGCGGAGATTATATAATTTAAAGAGGAATAAATTTTCTAAACATATTTTTCTTGAACCGTTTACGCAGCGCACGCAACAGATATCATTACCCCGTTTTTCCACTTTTCCCAGTGTTTCTTCACTTCTATTGATCGCAGCACGATGTTCCTTTCTTGATAAATGTTCCTACCCACACATACACAACACAATAGTAGTTCCTGAGATTAGCACGTTCAAACTAACAAACTTCTCACCTTTATAATATTAGTATAGCGTTAAACTAGGTATTGTGGGCTCACAATCAGCGGCATACAATACGTTTGGTATGAACGATGCCGTAAAGTGGTTTACACGCGTAAACTACAATCAATAAATAATCAACACAATTTTTTTCCCAGGATTATTAACGTTATATAGTAAAAATGTTCAGATTTAAATAAAACACGTTTTAAAAACGCGATATATATAAAATAACCTTATTTGTAAATTATTTTCAACTTCGCTTCGACGTTCAGATTTTTCGTTTAAAAAGGGATAAAAGAGATTTCGGTACAATAGGTACGTGGACGCACGTCCTGCCCTACTTAACGAAAAAGTATTTTGGGGCCTTAAAAAGGTTCGCTTTCAACATAAATAATAATCTACGTTAAACTGTATATATAAATGCAAGAATGACACTTGTACGGTGTCTTTACATAATAAAGGTTCTATGAAACAATTGCTGATTACTAGTTAAATGATTTCGTTGGGTAATTTATTTAAATTAAAAAAAAATAATTATGACAAACAAAGTGGTTGAAACCATGAAGATGGAAGGGGACTTCACTATTTGTTCTTAGTTAACGAAGTACGAACGTAATTTCGCTTCGATGTTATTTGGTGTATATTGGCGTGTCGCCAATTGTTGACGACCGCTGAAATTCCCGCCCCTACGCAGTTCAGAGGCTCTGTTACAGCTTTCAGTCCATTGACTCCCTGAACGAATTTAGGTGAAGCATAAATAACACCATACAAATTGTGTCTCCGGCTTTACCCTAGTTAATATATATAGATAATTTATTTATATTAATACATATAAATGTTTAACTGATTTAGATAATTAGCCGTTAAATTCTATAGTTGATATTATATAGATAAATTATATGGTAGAAATAATTAAACATAGCAGTTAATCACGAGAGAATTATTGAGATATTTGGAGGAAACATTACAGTTTCAGTGATCCATCACAGAACTCTAATTAACGTACCTATATTCTTAAAACAAATAATGTATCAGTGACACACAGAACTGTGTCAGCCTCATGCTCCATACTCCACACAATTACGTTAACTTAACGAAAAAAAAACACGTTTTTTTTTAGTAGGAGTGTTATTTTTGTAACTAAGTTTTATTCAGGAGATAATTAATTACCTAAAGAAGGTAAGCTAACTTAGATGTTTAAAAAGTATTTTTCGTTATAATAAATAAAAAATTGCTTTGTAATTTAACTTTTTTGAGATATTAATACTCAGTTTTTCCTCAAATGCAAAAGGTTTCCGTTAATACGTTTATAAATACGCTTGTACATTTGCCTTGAATACAGGCAAAATTAGATTAATTATGTAAACTAAAACGTTAAGTTAGGATTTTGAAATTGAAATTAAGTAATATTAACTTAACTCGGTTTAACATTTGAATGCTGTTAGTACGTAATTTACCTTTTGTGAAAATGAAAAAAATCAATTAAAAATATATACTCAAAGAAATCTAAGTCTCAATAAACGTGTCATATTTCAGCTAAAGAAAGTCTCTTTTTTTAACGTAACCCATAAATTGTTGGAGGGCATTTTATGAGGAAAACCGGCCGTGAAACTATAAAGTTATTTACAGCCTCTCCTTACGATTAATTTTACTTTATTACGCTCTTAACCTTTAATCAATTCTAACGTCTCATTTTAAACATTCGTAGAAGGAGAAGTAAGAACTGAATTATAAATGGATTTAATTAAATTCGAAGGACTTTACTTAAACGTATTAATGACGGTTGAGGTGGATCGAGCTTTCGAATAAGGAAGACTAAGGAGTAAATTTAAATTTTTGTTGATTATAAAGAAAGAGTAAGTGAATATAAAGCAATATGAGTTGAGTTAAATGCCATACTTAAAATATAGGAGTTAGGACAGTTATCAATGCGTACAACTACTGATACGAACAATAGATATTAGGTTGCTCCTAGGCCTACTGAATATACATATAAAATTTCATACAAATTGGTTAAGCCGTTTCGGAGGTATGGTAACATTGCGACACGAAGGATGTATTTATTATATAACTTGACTTGACATAAATATCAAATATTCAGGGGCTCTAAGCGACGTCGGAAAACAGCGCCAAGTAACCCTGGAGGTTTGCCAATTCGACGACACGCTCTGGGGATCGATCTCATGAGAAGACCGTTAAAATTTCTCTCACAAACAACACAATCGCGCTGATTTCGTTTTCCGAAGTTTTCATTTAATTTCCGGTGATAGAAATTTCCTTTAGTGTCATAGTAAATAGATTTTTCTTTTCTATAGTATTTTTTTATGCTTAACACAATTTGTTATATGTCAGGCAAAATTTTATAGCACTTGTATCGGAAGGCTTTTATTAAACAGGCTCAATTTTTACAGCTACATAAGCGGAAAAATAATAATTAATTATTAATACAGGTTAAGTGATTTTTAATTTTGTCTTGGCTGAATGATTACGGTCGGGCCTCAAACCCGAAACGTCCCAAGAACCTTTTGTTGAATGTAATTTCAATCGTAATGCGTTACGGTAGAAATTACGATGTGGTCGTGGTTTTGAATGCCGACCCGTGTCATACAATTTTTTAATCTAAACATGTTGAAGAAAAAAGGTTAGAGAACAAGTCTTTATAAAAGTAGCGAAAAAGGTAGGCCAAAGGAGTCCTTCAAGAAATACGGAGGAACATAAAATTACTCCAAAGGAATTTTCCTCAAATTTTCATATCCTGGAGGTTTGATTAATGCAAAGTTCGCGTGTAACATTTTGCTATCCATCATCCGCTGAGTCCTCGGGTTTGTACAGAGGGATTCGTAGCAAAGACTTTTAAATATACTAGATTAATTTATTATCCTGGTTCGCGCATTTCATGCAAATAAAAATATATAACAAATTTAATTAATACATTTGATTATAAACACATTTCATTAAATGATAAGTTAGTGCTCCTTTGTTATAGAATTTTCAAATATTCGTTAAAGAAACGCAAAGATATACTTTTAGTGGAAACATTAATGTCAAAAGACGAAGCGATTAAAATTCAGTCCCCACCCGGTAAAATCGAAATGCTTTATATAACTCCACAAGCTACGACGCACTATTTCTATATCACTAAGTTATTTTAAAACAATCCTAATGCCATTAAAACATTTTATATCTACGATCCAATTAATTAGGTCAATGGCATTTTAATACTCTCAATGAAAAGTTTTAATCAAAAGTTCATTACGGTATCGCGTTATCATCAAATTTTCTGGATAGTATTTGAGATGTCTCATTCAAAATTAAACCATTTGTAGTGTCGTCCCATCCGCCCTACATACCTATTTAACCGAACTTCCTGACACAAAAACCTTTTGACGATAGAATTGTATCAATAATTGTTAAAACTATTTCTTAATGATAAAAGTTATACGACAAAAATATTTTAGGGTTATATAAAATTACTTACAGAATAATTGGGACAATCCGATGTATAAATCGCGTAGAAGCACTGGTGGCACGTTAACGGGTAGGTGAATGAGTAAATGGGGGTGCCTTCTGTGGAACTGAAGTGAAAATCGGCGGGACGGCGCACGCCGGGCTTATTGATTTTGGGCGGGAACGAACCCGCTGTTGTGGCGCTACATGCTTCTGCCGTTCAATTTTGGTACTAACGTGGAGAGTTGCTTAAGGCTCGCAAGAGATGGCGCTGTTCAACTATCACTATAATGAAAGATGAAGAATAAACCAAAACCGAATCTATGCATTTTCATATCTACAATATAAGACACATGTACTCACTTGATGGCAGGTGATTACCAGCTCGACCATACAACTTGGAAAAAGAACCTTCACTGTCCCCGGTTGGTGGTAGATAGAGCCTGTTTATCGTCTTAACATCAAGAATCTATCTACGATCTTTGAACGATACACTCAGCACGTGTCGTCGAGCATAAAATACATTTTAAAAGTCAATATACATATATGAAATTCTATCATAGTACGATTTTTATTACGACACTTCATAATACTATAAAAATCTGTATTGACAGATTACCATTAGAAATATTTATTACACACAATCGTATCCAATAAATAATAGTGGCTTTGTATTCAAACGGTTTGACTCATTGACAAACCCGTGCCTTATGTGTACAAGTGTATGTGTACTTCCTTTTGCGGTTACATTCCTGACTAATATATTTTGTACTATTACACTTTAAATGGCAGCTTTACTTATTGTTTATACGGTTTATCCCACTGTATGCTTTTAATAATGTCAACAATAAAACGAAGTGACTGAAAAGGAATACGTTTTGGAATAAAATACCAATAACAGTTTAAAACACGAAACATATTTGGTAAACTTATATACAAATTGTTTTTACTAGGGGGGCCCGACGTTTTGGATACAGGGAGGACAGGGAGATCCGAAGCGGCGGGCCGTAATTTAAATAATTTGTATATGTATATGTCGAACTAATAATATTTTGCATTTTAAACCGTTAAAGTGTTTTATTTATACTACTTGCGTAAACTACAGACTTAACTGTTCGAAACACGAAATATATTATATAACTTATTTTTAAAAATGTCCAAATAAAATCTACGGGATAAATAAGGGACACACCCTCCATTTTTACCCCTCTCCTTGACCACGACTAATAAAGCATCAGAAACGTCGGGCAGTAAAATAAATAGTAAATAAGTAATAATATATTTGATGTTTTAACCTAATAAAAGGTTTTAAATGTGTAATACTTTCGTAAACTACAGACAATATTTATGGTATTCGTAAATCGATTTTTTCCTGCACTGTTCCGGTATTCAAAATAAGTTAAAACAAATTATTCGAAGGATCTGGCGGTGATCTACCTGTTGCTTTGCTTGTGTGTGTTATGTTTACTGGTGAAGGTGCTTATGTGGGCGTATGTCGTAATGCCTGCCATGCCTCGCCGACGCAACTGTGCTTGGACACGTCACGTTCACACTGACAAAATATTACACGTTTGACACAGAAGGTCATTTTAACAAAAGACAACTGGAAAAATTATTCTACCCTTTTCTAGTTCGAAAAATAAATTTGCCAATAGCAGTTTAGATGATAAAAAAGACTTATTTATTAGTCAATTCGATTTCTGATATTCTTCTTAAAACCTGTTCTCATTCTACTTTCAGTTTAATCTCATTTTTATTTGTTGATAACTATCAAATTGTATTCCATGCATCGATCACTAGTGTTCGATGATTCCATGCTTCTCTCATGAAATTTGGCAATTTTACTAAAACTTATTGAATTTCAAACTGATACCTACAATTGCTTACCTAACCTTTTCAATCTAAATTCATTTTTTAATTTATATAATGTCATCATGTACTCATGTAAAAAAATATTAGATTTTAAAAAAAATGATGATGATGACCTCTTTTAAAATGAATACTTAATAACATAAAAAATACTAAGAGGTAACAACTTTTTAACAACAAAATAACACAAATACCAAAATAATGATAAGCCCCTACACACCTATACCTTCAAAGTTCAAGTTAAACAATAGCCGTTGTGAACGCCGCCGCTCGCAGAAAGTAAGTTTGTTGTTCTTGTAACTTAGCGTGCTGGCTGTTGAGGGCACTTCAGTGTCGCTTCGCCCCGCGCTGAGATCGCTCGTCATGTCTCGGTGATAAAACGTTAAATTGTGATGTGCATCATGTGGGGATACCTTTTTGCTGGCGTCCTGCTAGCTACAGTCAACGCTCAAGTAAGCTAACTAACCTAAGCAATATGTACAGCTATTAAACGTATTCAGTTTCTTTATAACTTAGCTTGAATTCAATGACAATTTACAATACGTCATTCTTGGATTCAAGTTAAATCTATAGATTACAATTGCAATAAATTTATAACACTGCCGTTTACGTGTTAAATAAAACATTTAAATAAAACATTTTAACGGTTTTAAACGCGATATATATTAGTTAAACTTATTTGATTTCAATTAACTACGGGATGCTTTGCAGCAGCATTGGTCACGGGGAGACAGGAGAATTTTCAAATAAGTTTACCTAATATATATACATATATATCGCGTTTTAAACCGTTAAGTGTTTTATTTAAATGTGCTAACTCGTAAACTACAGACAGCGTTAAAACACTGTAATTCGTTTTAAAAATGGAATATTTAAGTTAACTTTAAGTACGACGTTTTATGCTTTGCAACTGCCGTACCGTTTAAAATTATAATAATAAATAACTAATAAGTAAACCTTGATAATTTCTGTCAATGCTACTACGGTAATAGAACCCAGGGCCACTAAATTTTTACAGAAACGAAAGTTAAGGGTAGTAGTGCATAAAGCGTGACGATGTGATAAACGACCTTACCATATACGATGCTATATTTACTACGAAGATGTGAATTAGAAGACAATACACGACTCGTAATAAAACACGTAATCGCACGTAACCGAGTTTGGCCTAGTTTCAAAGCGATGATACTGTACAGCACTCATTCATAAAATCATTCGTACAAGCAAAATATAACTTAGCCTTTGGCTCAATGGTTAATTGCGTTATGCGCAAGATGTCCTGGGTTCATAGTCGTGGTCGGCTGCTGCAAAGCATGGTCGAGCCGTAGTTAAAATAACTTTCAAACAAGTTTAACAAATATGTATCTCGTTTTAAACCGTCAAAGTGTTTTTAAATGTGTACTACTCGCGTAAGCTAAAGACAATATTTAATGTCCTGGGTTGTCAGCCTATGGAGATTGTTTGGTCTGGCAGGGCACAAAAGTCTACTCACCTGTAAAATCGATATATACTAAAAAAGGTCTACGTCATCCCCCGCATACAGGAAATCAGTTTTTTATGTTTGTCGTGAATTGTGATAATTAAATAAATTTACAAGGTTCTGTAAATACCAAGTTATGTATGGATGGATTTATTTTGTCGTTATTAATAACTACTGTACGAATGTTATGCGTTTTTGAATATGCGTTAATAAATTACTGTTTAATTCTGTTTTTGTTTTGAACTCCAATAAGATTATATCTCTTAAACTTGTCTCTATTTATACTATTAAGAGAAAATTAACTAATCACTTGGTCTGGGATAAGTCAATATTTTATACACTATCTAAAACAAGTATTTTTACAGTGCACATAGATTTTATCAATTTAAGTATCAAAGAAATGACTTGACCGAATATATGAATAATGTCCAATGGTATAGTTATTTCAATTTTGAATCGTTGAGTCTTTTGAAGTATATAAAGTTATCACATAATATTTTGACAAAACAATTTTATCTTTCATAGAACTATCAGCCACTTATTAAAAGTAATAAAATGTTTTTAATAGACCAAACACTGCCTCATAAGGCTTAGACAGATCGGCAAAGTGTGTTGGCTGCAAGGCTGCTCTGCGCCCACGCCTGTCCTCATAAAATACATCCAGCCATTGAATTCATTATTAGCAAATCGACTGAAAGTTAAACAATCACTTCGAATTCCTACAAAACTTGGCTTGGTATATTTGTACAATATTATCTCTATGATTTTGAATTATATAAGTTATGTATCTATGTTTGTATGATAAAGGAGGGCAGACTAGCTAGTTTCTAGATAGACTAGGTTTACTTGATGAAATACCCCAGCCATATAAAACTAAAACTAGATGCGCGGTCGACCTATTTTGGTTCAGGGTATTCGGAAATCAAGAGACTGAAACCGAGACGCGATTAAACGTCACGGCTTTTTCATCTTTGGACGATAGTTTGTGACCCGGACGGAATTTCAAAATTAGAGTATAAACATGTTTCGATCATTACAACGGGCACATCAAAAATATGACAGAGATATTGAAATAAAACACTTTAACGGTTTAAAACGCGATATATTAGTTAAACTTTAACACTTAACCACTTTAAGTTTAACTAATATATCGCGTTTTAAACCGTTAAAGTGTTTTATTTAAATGTGTACTACTCGCGTAAACTATAGACAGTATATGACAGATAATTTATTTGCCATAGATAGTAATAAAATGGAAAGCTTCCTTGAATACCTTGAACAATCAAAGTATTAATTTTACATGAACCTACGCTCACAAACTTTATGGTAACTTATTTAAGGGTTTGTTATTGTATTTGACAATGCAATAGTTAAGGACATTTGAACTTTGGTTTCTTGTTGTGACAAGTGATTCACATTTATATATTATCTTACTACATTTGTATTTTATGAACTATCTATTCACGGAAACACACTGAGTCAAGTTATTCTGACTCAATTCGCATACTTAGGAGGTTGACTGCTTTACAATGAATCAGTAATTATTTTACGTTGAATAACAAACGTTACGTTACGTTTTTCGATCGGAAGTGCGAAATTAACTGATGAATTAATTTAAACGTGTCCGTCTAGTTTGGACACAGTTGATTTAATTCTTTTCCGTATAATACACCGCAGACACGTAAAAGTGATTAAATATAAAGAATACTGTACAAGAAGTTTAGAATAATTAACTTCTATCACAAAAATGTTTTCTTTATGATCATTGAAATTATAATATTAATGACCATCGTTAATAATTAGACGCTTATGAATTTGAATTGGTTATAGAGCACGGAACACTGTGAATGTCGGTTCACGTCTTGGCCGTGTATATATAGATTATATTCTATTCGTTATTATGAATGTATGCTATTAGGCATAGTTATGAGATTCCTTCAAAGCGAATGCAACGCTCTGATTGTTCTAACCAGATCGTGCAATGATAACCAGCTACGGAAATCACAGAGTTGCACCTCGTGTAATTTTGCCTATCAGATGTTTTGTAATCCGTCGGCTGGCAAGGACAATATAAGCCATTAACACAATCGTAGGGGTCATCATCGCAATTTCACGTAGCGGTAAAATCGTAATTTCCAGAAGGCTCTAACGATATTTCAAATTTAAGTACGTCCATCAGCGGTGAGGCCGGAGACTGTAAATGAGAGTTTAATAAGACCCTTAAATTGCCGGAACGTACTAACACAAAGAGTATCACAGTCAACGCAAAAGACATGAGACGCTAAAAGATCGAATAGAGATAGATATTGATGACTCTAAAGACTTATACTAGCGCCACAAAAGACCTTGTTAGTAACAGTTCATAATCGTAGGTATATCAAAATTAACAAAGCCGGGGCTTAAAAAAATATAAATAAATGTACTTGTCTTTTTCTTTCTTTTTTTTTATTCTGTGAAAGGGTGATCTAATTGCAAAATATTAATTCTATTCAATGACATAAAATGACAAATACATAAAATATACAATGCTAAACTTATTAGGAATAGGAGGAGATTCAAAGTCAAAGCCAAAATCATTTATTTATCTAGATCACTAGGTACACGTTTAAACTAAATAAAACAACAAATAAACATTTACTACCAATTCTTTGTCATTCAAAGTCAACTCTAAGCGGCTCTACTAAAATCAAATATAAGGAACCTCACTATAATATGACAGAGAAGTACAGACAAGCATGTAGATCACTTGATGGAAGGTGATAATCCAGCCATTTAACAAGACAATTAGAAAAAATATAAATATGTTGGATGGCGCTGTACATACCTGCCATTAAATCGAAGAACGCGCTAAGCTAAATTTAATTAAAGTATTGACTACAATTTCTGTAGTCTGTGGCGTTCTGTCAAAAATATCAAACCAAAGATTTTATTCTATTATATATCTGTGTAGCTTATGTCATACCATAGCTAAAGAAGTATTGTACAAGGTAAAATGATTTGCAGGCGTGGCTGTAACTCATTGTATACAAGGAACATCTGAAACACGCGACAGCCTTGGCGAATCAACGTTTTATAAGACAAAAAATCATTAACAAATGAATGAATTTTGATTTAAATACGACGTAGAGTATATACCGTGACAAACGACATATTTGTATGGGATATACGAAGCTAAATTTGCTGCGTAAGGTATTGAGTAAGTATTGAGATAATTTGTTCACTTAGCTACTACGAGGGTATATACCCTAGGTATACTAAAATACAATTTTGTCAATATCGTACATAGTAGATAATATTATCTATTTTAAAAATTTACTAAAATGAAAAGTTATTATTTTTAATATTGTAATATGTTATCATATTGTCAAACTAAGAATTGAAGCAATGGCATTAATAAAAGTTATCTTGAACAAAAAAATTTCATATCTTAATAACTACTCATTTTATTAAGTTTAAATATAAGGTAAAAAAGTTCCTAACTTATAAAGATATCACACGTATATCTAATTATAATTTTTTAAATTTTTATCCAAATGTTCTCAGTGAAACTTGTAAAGGTACTGTCTCTGAGTACATACCTACAAACGTTTAGATTTCTGTAAGATTTTTTTCCTATATAATAAGAATACTACTTTTAAATAAGAGAGAGGTATCTTTAGTTTCCTGAGTAAACGAATAAATAAAGTATATTTGTTTTAAATTGCTTTATTCAAAAGTCAAATTGCTTATAGTTATTGTACTTTAAATACACGAATTTATCTAGGAACCTTATAGTTACTTTGATTATAAGACATAGTAAAGCAAGTGGTAAAATTTTAAATTAATATCTTAGAATTATTTACCCGAAAATGTTAACGTAACAATCGCGGAAACGGCAAACACAAGAATTATTTACGCAAAACAACTTAACAGTGACGAAATACAAACAATCAGTTTCGCCTATCGGCGTCCCCGCAGCGTCTACGTGGTAAT